GATCTTGGGCACACACACACACGCGCCCAGCGTGAGCTTTAAGCCACGGAGTCCGCAACACAAACCGCGGTCGACTACATGGGAGTCCAGCGACATAGCCATTACGCTAACTGCTGGTCCCAAGATTTCACTAATGTTAAAGCACTATTTCTTCCGTTTTCTGCATCTCTTCCCAAGTTTTCCCTCCTACAGTTTACTTGAGCTTGAATAATATTCTTAAGTCTTTTCACTTTTTCCTTACAAAATCCCTGTCTCATCTTTTCACTTATAACCTCGGGTGGACATAACTGCAGCCAGCTGACTAGCCCTCACTCCTGAGTCCCAGCCAGCTGGGGGCACCAGGTCCCTAACACCACTGGCTTCCCAAGATATTGGCCTTGACATTTACCCTCAGCAAGGACATGGAAACAACAGCACAAAGTGTCCCAGTCCTCACTGAATTCTGCACAAGAAAGTGTCCCAACCCCCTCAGCCAAAATTCTAGGCAAAACCCAGCAGACCACTTAATCTGCTCAGCCCAGCCCCTACCAGTATGCTCTTCATTGGCCAGCCTGGGCAATTCACATTCATTACCTGCCTCCTCTACCCTCCTTTACAGTCAGAACACAACCCCTGCCTGAGCTGTGACTTACATCATCCTTTCTGAGATACCTCAATTGCTAAACTGTTACTTTCTCTTTACAGCTCTTACCATACTGCAATTAAATAATTTTTGCATAAAGCTGTGCAATTCTTTCTATATCTTCCTCACCTACACTGCCATGAAGACACGGATTCCTCATCAGACTCGTTAACTGCAGTAAACCTGGTGCCTGGCACACAAGAGGTACTAGATAACGTCTGTGAAATGAAGATGAAATAAAAACCAAAGCTTCCCCCATCAGCCTTAGAAATGGCCCCTTGTCAATTTACCAAGCCTACATGGCAACCTAAGCCAGTTTGCCAAGTAATTTTATTTCTGTTACCTATAGGGTACTGGAATCAGTAACACAGGCTGAGCAGCCCTAAATAAAAAAATCTGAAGTGCTAACAACCTGAAACTTTCTGAGTACTGACAGAAAGCCACAAGTGGTATTAAATACAAAATGACTGTTTAAAATTACCTTCAAGCTTTGTATATACAGTGAACATGGAACAAAATTAAGTTCATGTTTAGATATCTCTAAGATACTCAACCTGTATCAGATGAGTTAAAGTGTTGATGACTCCTTTACAGCATAATTCCCTAAGAATTTAGGGTAAGGGAAAGTTCAGATGATAAAGTCCAGTACTTTTTGAACTAGAAAGGAAAAGGGGAGAAAAATGGTTTGCTTCAAGAAGGAAAAGGGAGGAATCAGCAGTTAGCATAATAGCTATGTCACTGAACTCCCATGTAGCCAACTACGGTTCGAGTCCCGGACTCGGTGGCTTAAACTCACGCTGGGCGCTTGTGCATGCATGCCCAAGATCCCGAGAGGAGAATGGAGGAGAAGGGATCGCATCGTGGCCATCCTCCCTGGGGAGTGATTTCTTGCGTTCTATCTCTCTGTCTGTCTCTGTCTTTCTGGCAAGCGCACATGCCCTATAGCAAAAAAACTCTCCAAAAAAGAAGGAAAAACAGACCAAGATTAAACAAGGGAACTACACAAAGAAGTCTCACTGGTCATCCCAAGGCTACATGCAGCCCTGGGATCACACATAACCTTCTTACCCACAGTAGATTTTCCAACCCAATGTGACCCCAGAAAGAGCCCCTAAATGAGCTGGTCCCATAGCCAAGTTCTCTAGACTTAAATAAGGGTGACAACTTGCCAAGATATCCAGGGACTTTTACAAATGCCTGAAATCTAGATCTCACTCAACCAAACTCCCTGACCCATACTCTCAAAACTTGCCCATAAAATTCTAGAGAAAAGCACAGAACACTAATAACAATAGTATGCTACCTTGATAATTTTCTCTGTTCCCTCTTTTAGTCAGAAGAAGTCATCTGTCCATCAACTAGTCCCAAAGAACATCAGTAAAAATCTTTTCCACCTTTCCTTGTGAGAGGGGCCAGACAGTGGCATAGCAGTAAGGCATTATGTTCTGTGAAGTAACCCCATATAAGAAGTTCAAGTCCAGAGACTTCCCTGAGTACACTGGGTATGTGTTTGCCCATGATCCAGGGATGGCTGACAGGTGAGGGTGAACCACAGTGTCAAGATCCTGGCTGAAGGTATTCTCTCACTCTCTGTCTTGCTTTCCCTTTCTCACTCATAGAAGACAATAGATAATTAAAAAAAAAAAATTACAGAGCACAAGAATGAATGAATGAATAACAGCACCCATCTTCTTACAGTTCAGGAGTTCAAGATTTCTTATAGTACTGATCTCACACACAAACCAAGTCTACTTTTAACCGATCCAGGAATGGAATCTCCGGTCCCCTGGGGTAGGAGGCTGCCATCAAAAATAACTACTGAAAGTCCATAACCCTAGGTCTCTCCCACACTTTCCTCTCCTTCCTGCCAGGCAGTAGGAGAAGTGAAGAACAAAACTAAACTCTGACCTCAGGTCCAGCTTGGCTCTGTTGCTTACACTAGCCAAGGTGCCATGGGAGAGTTGAAAAATATAAAATAAAGATTTTGTTATTTCCTACTGGAATTTTCTGTATGTAGAAGGTAGCATTATTCCTGAAGGTATGCTGATCATTACAGGAGACTATTATAGTTCACTCATTCAGTGCAGGTCACTACTAAATTGCAATACTACCCAAAGTGTTCATGCAGATGAAGGAATGCTAAACTGCAGATTAAGGAGCCCCAAATACTAGGAACCACAACAAAAAAATGCAGCTGACATGATATAATCACAACTTCCTTACTGCCAATTCTTTTAACTTTAAAAAGTATTGCATCATATTAATGATCAACCTACTTCTAAATGGTTGTCTCAAAGACCCCATTTTACTTTGCATATTTGAGAATTTAAACATCCAAAAATTTTAAATGAGAAAATAATGTCCAATGGCTAAATCTACACAAATATACACTCAAAAATACTCATGGAGAAACCCTTCTTATTTTACTTTCTCAGTGGAAGGTGTTTCAGAAGCAAGCATTATTATACTCAGCAGTAAAATCACTGTTGTTACTAGTTCTACAAAAAGAATTCCTTTCCATAACATATTTTTCATGAGTCTCGGAATACAACTCTACTTTTTAAATATTTTAAAAGCTGGAAATTTTACTTTTATTTTTAAAAAGTCAATCCGAAACTACTCCTTAAATGTAAAGAACACAGTCCAAAGAACATTTTTGTCAGTCCATTTTTCCAAATAAAGTGGAAATTACATTGTTTTTTCCTACATCTTCCTACTCCCTTCTGTACAGATGGGTATTTGCAAGGCAATGAGAAAAATATATTTGAAAACAACTTGTTGGTATTAAACAGTATAAAAATGGCAAACCAATATTGTAGAATTGTCAGTATAAATACGTTTTAGACTGATGTGACTGATAAAGATTAAGAATCAGCGATACCTTTAGTGTGTGTATCTCTCACAAGCACTCACATATACTTTCCCACAAACACACCCATGCCTGCCAATACATTAATCAAGCAAAGATGCCTCCATCCTCAGGATGTGTCTGGGTGGCAGGCACATGAGTAATTTTTTCTTTTTTTTTTTTTTTGTTTTTCATATTATATGTGAGCATATATAATTTTATAATTAAAAGCTTTCAACATGAAATTACTAACACTTCTCTACGCAGGCGACCCAGACAATATTTCATCTTGAAGCAACTTGGATGGCTAAAATGACCAAAGCAAAGGGGAGGGAACATGGCTAGAGAAATGGGGTGTTTAAAAGAAATCTCAAATTTAAGGTTGTAAAGTCTAAAAGGCCTCATTTTGTTCTTCTATCACACGCATTCAAATCAAGTAACTTTGCTCTACCGTTATTGACCACAATCTCTCACAGGAAGAGTATGGTTAGTATACCTTGCTGCAGAGATTAAGAGCTGCAATTTATCTTCTCAGTAGGATTCCTCTTCAAATTTCAGAAGGGCTTGCCACCATCCCCTACGAAGCGCGTTAAAACTTGGCCACATACATCAGTGCCATTTCCGAGTAACCTGAAGATGCTTGGAGGGAAATTATAAAACCCCAAATGTTTGGACTTGTGTGCTCACGCACACCCCATATGCTCGGCTCACTGGATAGTAAAGACAGATGAGTCAAAAACAGAAAACTTACTTGCAGGATGGAGACAGTGTCAAGGCCACCTTTCAAGCGGGGACAACCCCCCCCAGGCCCCGCCTTTGTCTGCCGGCAGGGGCTGGCGTCTGGCCGCGGACCCCGTCTGTCCGCCCCGGCAGCGAGGGGCGAGGGGGCGCCAAGAACCGGCATCCGGCAGCGCGGTCCACCCGACTGGGCAGCGCACCCCACTCCAGGCAGGAGTCCCCCGAATCACAGGGCCAAGGAGGCAACAATGAGCAGAGTGGCCACCCTGGCTTCTTTCCCTCCCATCGCCCGGCGCCTCGCAGCGCCCCTCGGCCGGGGCCACCGCCCGAGTCCCGCTGCGTGCAGGCGCTGGGACCCGGCCGGCGCAGTGCGGGTTGGCGTGCGGCGACCCGGGCTCCCCACACGCCCACCGCCCTTCTGCTCCCCGAGCCCCTCGTCTTTGTGTGGTAAAGTAAGTGCGGGGGGCGAACCTACCTCAGCGCGCACAAAGGCGCGCGGCTCCCTCCCCAGCTCGCTCTGAGAGCCCGCGGCGTTGTACAGCGGCTCAACTGCTCCGCGGCGGCTCGAGGAGGCGCAAGGGCGGCTCTGACGGCAGCGACCGGGCCCGCAGCACAGTCCAGCTCAGGGCGGCTCTCACACCCCGCGGCCCGGCGCGTCCGAATTAAGCGGCGGGGCGGGCCAGGGGCGGGGGCTTGGCAACCGCCCAGGGCACGCCCCCGAAGCCCGGCCCCGCCCGCCGCCCCGCCTTCCTCCCGCGCCCCGGCATTCGGCGTGCACTGCGTCTGCAGGCGGGGTGCACTGAGGGGAAGGCCGCCTTGGGCTGCTGTAGTTTGGTTAGTTTGCTTAGCTTCGGGGACTCTCAGGAGAGGAGAGGGGGGTGTTCGCAGAAAGAGACCGAGCGTTACCACAGGAGAGGGAAAAATGGGACTATGGAAGGCGCACGGCCGAATTAAAGCGCTCGCGTGCGCTCTCTCACACGCTCGCTCGCTCTCCGCCTTTCTCCATTTGTCTCGTTCTTTCCCTCATTCTGTCATTCTCCCTTACTCTCTCATTCTGTCATTCTCTCTCATTATTTCTCACTGTCTCTCGTTCTTTTCCTCCCCATTCTCTCTCATTTTCTCTCTTCTGCTTCTCTCATTCTCCCCCCATTCTCTTTCAATCTTTCTCCCTCACCCTTTCTCATCTTTCATTGTCTCTCTCATTCTCCTTCTCTGTCATTCTTTCTCCCTCATACTCACTCATATACGCTCTCTCTCCTCTCTCTCAGGAGTGTTGAGTGCTCCATGTCTGAGCTCCACTTCCATCCCATGCCTGTGAGATTGAGACTTGTCCCCACTGAGACCTTGTCTGAGAAGACAATTCAAAAGCAGTCAGGTAGGAAAATGAAACAGGTTTGTTGTAATTATATTACAGTCAAACCAGGGCTCAAAAGCACTGACCTGAGGATTTACTCATTCGCCCCCTCTCTTCATCAAAGAGTAACTGGAGATTTAAGTTGTGTGCACAGAAGAGAGTGTTTATTTTACCTCTTTTCTTTTTTTTTTTCCCTGTCCAACTTTGTTTCCTCAGCTCCTTTAAGGTAAGTTGCTTCTCTGGCCAACCCTGAGACTCTTAAGATTTCCATCTACCTGAATCACAGCAGGTATAAAAACAAGATCTGAAACAGGATCTGTTTCATAGTAACAATAAGGTCAACAGGTTGATGGATTTTAGACCAAAAGCTTTTTAATTTTCTTGGCAACAGATGACTAAAGGTTTATTTACTAGGAAACTTTTCTGACTAAACCAACTTAGGTCATGATCATATAGAAGTCTTATTAATTATGGATTTCAGTAAACAAATTACTGATTCCAAAGGTATCTGTCAAACACAATGCTCTAAGTCACAATGCCACCCCTAGGTCTTTGAAATCTGCTGAAGGGTAGGGTCACCTGACACAGAAATTGAAGAGAGAAGCTCCTTTCTGGTCCAGGAAGCTGAACTGTGAACTTCACTGGTGGTTTTTCTACAATTCTGCCTTCTCCCTCCATCCTTGCCTTGGTTTCTTTTCTTGATAATGGCTCCACTGGTCACCACACCAGAACCTGGGATCCATCTGAGACTTTCCCCTCACTTAGCACAGCAGTGTTAACTCCCAGTCCCGTGCATTGTGTGTGATGTCTAGCTGTCTCTCTGCCACCCATAGCACTGTCACAGCTGTTTTGAGGCTCTGTCACCCGCCTGATATGTCACTACCCACTAGCCCGGACCTCTAATCTCACACATGCTTCCTCCCAACTGCTTCCCAAAAGAACTTTCTTGGTGAAAATTATTCAGCTTCTTCCTCTGCTTAAAACTCTTTAATGGATAGTATCCAATGCCTAAGCACCTGATCAAGTCTAAGCGCCTTATAGCATACCACAGTGCAGCATCCTTCTCTGATATCACCTTGGTCATATATCTGTGCTGTTCTTACATCCCCTAGCTACTCAAGGGTCCAGCTAGCTGCAGCACCACATTTGCTGTATGACCTTGCTTGTGACTGGAGACTAGTTAGAGGAATGAATATATCACTTTCCCACATGCTTCTGCCTCTGCGCAATAAAGCTTCACCCCACTCCCAACCCCCAACAGCTCTACTCTTTTCTATACCCAGGCTCCTCTGAAAGCTTTCCCTGACCTGCTCAAATTGGTCTTTTCTGCCCACTTCATACCCAGCACAGTATTGTAATTATTGCACTGCATTGTAAGTAAGTGCCTCTTGAGCACAGAATTATGGCCTGGTATATATATATATATATATACACACACACACACACACACACACACACACACACGCCTTATAGATATCACCTTGGTCATATATCTGTGCTGTTCTTACATCCCCTAGCTACTCAAGGGTCCAGCTAGCTGCAGCACCACATTTGCTGTATGACCTTGCTTGTGACTGGAGACTAGTTAGAGGAATGAATATATCACTTTCCCACATGCTTCTGCCTCTGCGCAATAAAGCTTCACCCCACTCCCAACCCCCAACAGCTCTACTCTTTTCTATACCCAGGCTCCTCTGAAAGCTTTCCCTGACCTGCTCAAATTGGTCTTTTCTGCCCACTTCATACCCAGCACAGTATTGTAATTATTGCACTGCATTGTAAGTAAGTGCCTCTTGAGCACAGAATTATGGCCTGGTATATATATATATATATATACACACACACACACACACACACACACACACACACGCCTTATATGTATTTTTACTACCTTGTGCCTAATGTATCTCACATTAGACAATATGTTATGGACCAAATTGTGTTCTCTCTCATAATTCATATGTTGGAGCCCTAACCCCAGTGTGACTATATTTGGTGGTAGGGCCTATAAGAATAATTAAGGTTAAATGACATCGTAAGTGTGAGGCCCTAAACCCATAGGTCTGGTGACCTTATAGAAGAGATACCAGATCTCTTTCTCTCTATACACATACAAAGAGGCCATGTGTAAACACGGTAAGAAGGCAGATGTCAATAAGCCAAGAGTAGTCTCACTTGAAACCAACCCTTTTGGGATCCTGAACTTGGACTTCCTACCTCCAGAACTGTAAGGAGATAAAATGTCTTATTTAAGCTGCCCAGTCTGTGGTGTTCTGTTAAGACTACCTTCACAGATTAAAATACGAAGCATGCATTGGATTCTAGGATCTTATCTTGAAAAGCACTCACCTATCAGTGAGCCTTATTTGTCCTTCCAAAGCAGGACAAACTTCTATGATGCCAAGACATGGGACTATGTAGTAACAGTCTTTATTCTACCCTCTGAGAGAAAAGGAAATGTGCTCGTTCTGAGGTATAAATGCCTAAAGGCTTAAAGTCTTGATTTTACCCCTTCTACCAGGTACCATAATTTATATTAAACCAAAACAAATAAGTGGAGAGCAAACATTAAAAGACAGGAGGCTAACACCAGTTTATTAAATCCACTGTTTAGAGATGAATATTTCAAATCTCTAGGGTTATCTTAGGGGGAATTCGATTGAGTGTCCAATTTGATTTGAGACTTCTGGAGTCACTCTGGGTGGACCTCAGAAATAAAATCTTTAAAGTTAATGGACTAAGATGATATTTCTATTTTAATGTATACCATCCACTACAGTGCCTGGAACATGATAGGTGTGTGAAAGATGTTTGTAGAATGAATAAGCATGGCATTTCAGGTACAGCTGGGCTTCTCAGGGTTATACCAGGTGACACCAGACTCAGCCTGAGTCCAATGTGGTATAGATGCCTCTATCTGAATGTGGACAGGATGCTGGGAAGGGTCAGAGGAACTGCTGTGCTGTGTTTAGATTTTCATTCCTGGATAGATGCAGTTTATCAGATGGCAGGGAAAGCCTTTAGTGACTTGATTTCTTCATATAAAATATGAAAAAATACTCTGCATGGTTTCTGAGTCATTAAACTTATTACCAATGATAAGTTCTCTAATCTCACGTTACTGGAAAACATATATAATAATTTCCCATCTTAGAGCACTTAACCACAAGGTCAACCACATACTCAGCTTTAACCTCATCCTTTTGCATTGACATTTGGGGGCCTTGTAAAGTCATTCTTAAGGAAAATTGAAGAAAAAAATGAATATTTGGTGACATTCAGTGGAGTAAAGTAAAGCAATTTGAAATATACCATTTGCTATTTGTTTGTTTTGATTTGCTTATTTTTATTTTCTGGCTAGAGTGAGTGTATACTTTCCAGAGTGAGGGAAAGA